GGTGGGGGTGGTGGCTCCGGCGGGGCCCTTGCCGGGCTGTAATTCAGGGCTCCCTCGCCGCACGCAGGGGCGGCCTCGGAGGGATCCCGGAGGGGTTTCGCCGCCGCCGGTTTGACAGGCCATGAGGGGCCGGCTGTGCCCTTCACAGTGCTCCTTGCTTCCCCTCCCAGGGCAGCGGCAAGGTAGTGGTTTTCGGTAGCTGGGGTTCCCGGGTGGAGTGAAGCCGGCAGCGGCAGTCGTGCCAAAATCTGAGTCTTGAAAATCAGGGGGGAGGAGCGGGCATCACAGGGACTTTAACTGGGATGATATAGCCCAGCCTGTCGCCTAAATGATGAGCGTGCAAGCTGCGGCATGTGTGTTTTAAAATACATTTCAGAAGTGTTAGCTCCTGTGGACAACGTAGAGCGTGGACAGAAAAGTCCTTACCATGGAAAGATGTGATAGGAGGCCTGAGACTGTATGTCAGACTTGCCATAACCAAGTGTTCAGAAAGTGTTTTAATAACCATAGTTGGAATTCCTTAGTTTCATTGCCAAACTCCTAATTTACCTGTGTGTGGGCACAGCGTTTCCTAGTTCTTGAATTTTCTGTCTGTGTTGATGTTCCCTAAAATGTGTTCTGAGTGTTTCTCTGCATGGGATGTTTGCTCCCTGGAACTGATCAAAAATTGGTGCTTTCCTCTGTGGCCCTAGGCTTTATCTCTGGCAGTTACTTTGGGTGGAGCTCCAACTTTCTCTTACTTTGGTTTAACTTATTAAATATAGAGTATTTTTACTGGGCATATCAGATACAAGATACAAATTATACCCGCAAAGGTGCGGGTACAAACCAGATGAAAGGTGATTCTCTGTACGCATGTAGTTTAGCTGGAGAACTTTTTATTACAAGGTTTTGTGGATGCAAAAGGTTCAAGGGGAGACTGGTTGACTTTATGGAAGTTCTCCCATTAGGGACGAGCCAGATAGACATTCTCTGTGAGAAAGTAAATGCAGACACCAGGCAGGCTGCTGGAGATTATGAGGGCACATAGGAGGAGTCTGTACTTGTGGTGGTGTTGGTTTTTGGTTTTCAGCATTTGACTGCATGGGAGGTGACATAAATGGACATTTAGTTGGGCCCGGTGTGGGTATTTCTACTTACAGTCTAAGTTGTTCAGTGTGTGTTTGTGGGTACAGGGTTGTTTTGGGTTTTTTTGCTTTGTTTTTTAGGGGAATGCTAGATGATAGCTATAGAATGGGTGGATTTCTCTACTAAAGAGGACACCAGAACTAAGGTTTTGCAATGCTTAAATCAAACCGCAGAGCGTTTTACAAGCCCCATTCCTTTCCATGCTTATGCCCAGAGTTTTAATTCCATATGGGGAGAGCTGTTTTGGGGATGGGTTTCTGGAGTTCCTGGGCTCTGGTTCCACATTTGGAACTTTTGATCCCTCTGTTACTTTGAAGCTAAGGTTTCATTGCTAGGGCTTCCCAGGCTTTCTTTTTCAAAGGAAAAGGCCAGAGAGTTGAGAATAGTGTTAATCTCTGTGAATGGAGCCACTATTCCTCATTTTATGAAGATTTTTGTAAGGGTGAGAGAACCTGCAAGGATTAAACATTGAAACAATACTCTGCTTCAGAAAGGCATAGTTTTAATTAAAGTAATTGTGGGGGGAAGACTTTGAAAGCAGTTCATGATAATCGGTCAGCTTTCCTTGTAAGGTTTTTTGGGCTTACCGTACCGTCATAATTCAAAATAGTTGCCTTTCATGCTGTGTTCATAGCTCACAATGAGTAGAATAACACTGTAGTTCTAATTATATGAAATAAATTTAAGAACAGATTTAAAATCCTATTATTGTTGACACTTAGTTGTAATTTTAATGTCTACCTCAAAAAAATGCTTATGAGCAGACCTGAAAAGTGGATAGGGCAAGGAACAGGCTCCGGTATTGGGATTTTTTTAGAAAGGGGAGGAAACTATTTTTTCTCCCCTTATAACACCTACAAGGCACAAGTGTAGATAAACCATATCCACGTGAGGCAAAATTTTGCATCACAGTACACTGGTCAAAGTTTTGGAGACTTGACTTAGGTGCACTTGGCATTGATACGAGACCTTGAAGCCCCCTCTCTAACGAGGCGAGCTGATGCTGCTTTTCACATTGTGTTTGTGTTCTGAGGGCTTCCTCTGCAACCCCAAAGGCCAGAAGCTTAGCTGTCACCTTATGAAAAACATACAGTGGGTACCTCACTTGTTGAAAACTAATGCTTATCGTATTACAGTGAAGTAAATTCTCTGTGTGATACTACTTTTTCCACAGATTATGTAGGGCAGCAAGGTGTAATGAAGTGTGGGAATGCGTGAGTGCTCTCTAATTAGAGTTTGACAACGATGTTTTGTATTTCAGGGCAAATGACCCAGCTTTGTGAACTGATCAATAAAAGTGGAGAACTGCTAGCAAAAAATCTTTCCCATCTGGATACAGTGCTTGGTGCCCTGGATGTGCAGGAACACTCGTTAGGCGTTCTTGCTGTCTTGTAAGTGTTGCTTTCTTTTAATTAAATATCTTAGTATTAAAACTTCAGGCAACGTGCTGAATTGTCAACCAAATATTTTTCTTTTGGAAATGAATGTTTTCAATCTGCATTTCTTAGAATGGTGCTTAGTTTCCTTCGGTGATACACATTTTATTAATAAAAATACCAAGGCAAATTTGTGTTTTCAAAAGAATTTTTGTTTTCAAAAGAAAAAAAACCTCTGCAGCTTGTAAATGCCATTACTGTCAAATGGTAACATTGGGGATTTGTTTTCCTTAAGGCTGTACCCATTTCTCTTGTTTATGCCTTTATAAGTATTTTTCCATATGTGTTCAGCAAAAAGATATAAAACTAGCTTTTAAAACTCGATTGGTAGGACATTAGTGCACTGAACTGTAAGCATGAAGCAACGCACTTTTTTCTTTCCAGTGAAGCATGGGTTCTTATCATAGTTCTTGGGTATTTGTCTCTAGACCGCATTGAGGCTCTTGCTGCTCTCTGTAGTTTACGATAATACTTGAATTGTCTTGGTGATGCTGAGGTGAGGTAAGGATATTTGGCCCTGAATCTCAAACGATTGCTTCTAGCTGTACCTAACCACAAGTGAAGTGTCTACAGGTTCCACTATTATTTTAAAGTTCTCTTTTAAAGCAAAGGCCAGAATTCTAGTACTTGTTCTACTACCCTTTTGAAACAAAATGACTGTAATGCATAGTGATAATGCACTTAATACTGCAATTCACTAGCACCTCATAAAAATGCATTACGGAATTTACAAAAAGCAGGACATCGGTGCTGCATTAGCAGAAGAATCATATCATGAGCTACATGAAAACAGTCATTAAAACAGGTGGAGTAAGAAAGATACCTGTTTATAAGAAATATGCAAAATGTATTATTTGAAGAGATGGTATCAGTGGAGCATATAGGAAAGTTCTCCTGGCTGAAACTGTGGCATCGCAAACTCCTACCCTGGTAGAATAAGACTCTGAAGAGACAGGGAAGGGGTGGCAGCACGTAACCTGGACAGTCATAAGCCTTGTGGGGAAGGACAGTTCATGATCTAGGTGGGTTTGAACTGCATATTCCAGTGTATAGCAACGGAAGTATAGGCAGGGTTGGGTACCTTCCAACAGCATTAAACAGAATTTTTTCTGTATGTTTTTGTGATATTTGTAGGATGCAGAGGTGGAGAGTTTTCACTGCACTCAGATGAGCGTAATCATAGTTCATCTTACAGAAGAAGCAATGTGTCTACACATAGTCTACAGCCTATAGGGTGCTAAGGAACCACCAGAGGTGGAAAGAAACTGGAAGTGAAGAGAAGGAGCTGCTATCGAGAGATACAAGTCTAATAATTTAATAGTTGAGAAATCTTGAGCACATTCAAGCAGCAGATGTCTGCAGGATAGGCAAAAGTGTCCAGAGAAGTTGTGTGGCTGAGTATTACAATTCATGATCGTTAGCCAGTGTTTCTATTATGATTGTAACGGTTGTACCAGATAAAATTATCTTTGTTCATCATAGTTTGTTCTAAATTGTAGTTTGCACTAGATTGAGAATGGGGGTGTGCGCGAAAAGCATATTTTCAAATGTTGTGCAGCTCCTGGGGAAATCGTATGCCATCTGTCATAAACACTTTGGTTTTGTTTGCAAGCATCTACATGCATCTGCAGAGATTTAGCGATGAAGCTTTTTTATTAATCTCCAAAGGTTAAGTGCTAAACCTTTTGTTTGTTTGTTTTAGGTTTGTGAAGTTTTCTATGCCCAGCATCCCTGACTTCGAAACATTATTCTCACAGGTGCAGCTTTTTATCAGCACTTGTAATGGGGAACACATTAGATATGCAACAGACACTTGTAAGTTAAGCTTACTTTCAGACTGTATATATTTTTTGATAGTTTGGTATTACTGATTTTTCACTGTGTTGGGTTTTTTTTGTTTGTTTTTTTTACTGATTTAGTTGCTGGCCTGTGCCACCAGTTAACAAATGCCCTTGTGGAGAGAAAACAGGTGAGCAAGTATCATCTAGTACAAATAAGCTACCTACATATCCAGGCTTTTAAAGGGGATGTTACCCTTTAACCCCTTTAAAGGGGAACAAGTCTCTTACTTCATAAAGATTTGCCGCTAACTTCACGTTAAGTATTTTTGTGCAGCTCCTTACTTGTTAAGTTTACTGAGAGGTAATGAACCTAAACCAAGATTTTAAGATTTCTTTAAGGAAAATGTAAAGAAGATAAATCTTTCGGGGGAGAGTTACCTAAAAACGTGTTCTCTCACACAAACTAGGAGATCTGTAGTACCAAGAATGTTCCTCAGACAATGTGTGCGTGAGTAGGAGAGCGCTGCAAAAATTATTAGCGCTGGTGAGTCAGTGATACTAGTTTCAGTGTTATTCTCACCAGTGTTATATAATGTTCTTAACGAAATGCCTTAAAATATAAAGGAAACTTGATTAAGAAATATTTGACCCATGTTTTTGTTGCTAAGATACTGACTTTTTCAGGCCATTTTAGTGAAATGTAGCCTGAAATAGAAGTCGAGATCAAGTCTGGTCCAAGTGGAGTAAAGCAAGAGCCTTGCCTTTCGTATTTGGTGGGAGTTTAGATGGCGTCATGGAGTCAAGAAAGGTTTTGTTGTCGATACAAATTACTGTATTCCTGATGAGGTTGGCTTTGTGGAGCAGAATTGATGACCTTAGTTTATCAGGAGAAGTTGTATAGCCAAGGTTAATTTTATTTTCTGAGAGACTGCAGTATCCTACAAAAAGGGAACCTCAAGTTAACTATTACTTAATGGAACCTGTCAATTAGTGTTATTTTTCATTTGTAAGTGTCAACATAAGATCCAATGTGCTGCCATCTATGAGAAATTATCTGAAAGAGATGTAATTTCTGACAGCCCCTGCGAGGAATTAGCATTCTCAGACAAGCCATAGACAAGATGCAGATGAACACAAACCAGCTGACCTCAATACACGCAGATCTCTGCCAGGTAAGGGGACCATAAGGGCTTTTTATGAAAGTAAAAGCTTATAAAATACCTATAGCCCTTTGAGGAAATGCATGTTCACATATTTCAATGTAAAAATGGCTTGTAACTGGTTTTTTCCCAGTAATAAATAATATGATATACTGAAATAAAATCCCCTGCTATTAATTTTAAATGTTCAATGCATGTCCCCAGATCTTTGGTTTTGTTGATGACTTCTGAAAGTCCTTTGACATATCTTCTCTCTGGGCTGAAAGTCGCACACAGCTTGTCTTAGGCGGTATAAGTGTAATATCCAGATACTGTTTGCTCAAGTTTGACAAAAGGCATGTTTGTCTCGGTGTCTTTGGCCTGGGTTTGCACTTCTGTCTCATTCTTGGCTCCTGGGATTTAGGGTTGGACAGGAATGTTTAGTGCAATATTGAGCGCTGCCAGCATGGTAGTCTGGAAGGCCTGGAGTTTCAAGCAGTTCTATCAGAGTCTAGTTTCTTTAGGATTCAGATGATTTATAACAGTTCACAATCTGTGTTAAGGGTTTCCAAATAATCATGATACAATGAAAAATCTGTGTTACAGCACTACTGGCGTGCGCTGTTTTTTCACTCTTGGAGGAGTGAGATTTATTAAATAGTACTAGATGAATTGAGTTTCAACTTCTTCCTCATGGAAATTTGAATGGAAATGGCTAATTTATGAAAACTTGATTTATTTTCTTGTAGCTCTGTTTGTTAGCAAAATGCTTTAAACCTGCCCTCCCGTATCTAGATGTGGACATGATGGATATTTGTAAAGAGAATGGGGCATATGATGCGAAGCACTTTTTATGTTACTACTACTATGGTGGGATGATATACACTGGGCTAAAGAACTTTGAAAGAGCACTCTACTTTTATGAACAGGTAACTTTAAACAAAATGGTAAGTCTAAAGTGTGATCAATTGAAAGGCAAAAGTAGCATGTGTAATAGTGCTGAGAGAACATATCGTCTTTGAATTTCCACAAGAATGGCAATAAAAGCCATGAACGTAACAAAGTACAAGCAGTCTCCAATTATTTTCATTCTTAACCTTAAGGATGTAATTCTACTAACAGATCTATACTGTTGTTCATCATTCATACAGGTTTTGGTTTAGCACGCGTGTTCATCATAGTTATACATAAAAACAGATTTGGGTTAGTGTTCTCTATTAGCTCCTTTATGAAGGGTACAGCCTGAATGATACTCTTCAGAGTATAAAGTGAAGTAACAAGCAAACTGTCTTTAGAGGTGTTTTTCTTTAAGAAAGTCTCTTAACGGCGAAGTAACTATTGCACCATAAAACTATGCAACTCAAAGGTTGATGTTAAGTTTATCTCGCTATAAATATTTTTCAGATGCCTACTTATTATTGCTAGCATAGAAACAGTTCACAGGCTGACATTCAGAATTGTGTATTCTTAAAGAAAAAATAGTCCAGTGCTTTTGCTAAGACCTTTGCTAATTTTGAGGGGCTTCTTCAAGGCTATTACAATATTTGCTGCTTTTACCTTCTCTGTGAAAGAAGAGAAAATCGCAAAATTGGGAAAACTTTGTGTGTGTATGAGAGGGAAGTGCTGTCAAATGGGCAAAATAAACTGGTGCAGCATATTTTTTTTTTTCTGTAAACAAGGGTCAGCTCTTGAGTAGCTAGCAGTATCATAGCAAACTAAAATCCCTTTTCCCTATTCTGCATACCTCTTTCAGCATACTTCAATATGAGATCTGATGATGTAATAGCTTTATAAAACCTCTTCAAGGAGCTGTATAAATCCAGATTCTAGAGGAACTGTATAATCATTCCTGGTATCAAGTAGCTACAGGTGATTTCTAGTACAACTTTAGATCTATACCAAGAAAAGAACAAGGTTATTTTAAGCTAGGCATCACTGTAACATATGTTTTGAGTAGCTTGTATAGAATTTACTTTTTTAGGACATTTTTGGGTAATTAATTTTGACAGAAGTTAGTTAAGCTTTAATGCTCTAAGGTGAATTTCACATGTCATGGTATCCTTTCTGCATGCAGCTTTGAACTGAGATTTTTGTTAATGCAGTAGCTACCAGGATCTGCCAGTAAGTATACTAAATTTCTATTCCATTTCTTTCTTTCTTGTTTAGGCAATAACTACTCCAGCCATGGCAGTCAGTCATATTATGTTGGAATCATATAAAAAGTATATTCTAGTTTCTTTGATACTACTTGGCAAAGTTCAGCAGCTACCAAAATACACTTCCCAGATAGTTGGTAGATTCATTAAGGTAAGTCTTGCAAATACAGCTAATTAATAGAACAACAAATCTGAATTTGTAAATTTTTTTTTTTTCCTACCCTCATTTGATGGTACTGTTTAACATTGCAGATCATGGGAAATAACGCACAATGTGCCAGAGTACAACCTCTTGCTGCCTTTCTAGTGTACAATAGCTAAAGATTGTCTGGCAACTTCTACGTCTATTACAAACAAAGTGTATTGTTCATATTGGCAATACAGGTTTTTAAACTTAAATTTGGAAAAACTTTAGGGTTGAATAGTACTTACCAATATTCTCTTCACTGATAGTGCACATCCCTTGATAGCATTTTACATTAGAACTCAAACAAGACTCCTATTTCACTTGGCTTTCAATATGCAGCGTCCTTGTAAGAACACTCAACCCGTAACTTCATCTCGTTGAGGTACAAAATGCTAAATAGTTCATTCCAAAACTCCAGCTTTATAAAGAATAAAAGCTTCTGAAAAAGCTGCAAGTTTGGAGTCCATAAGCATTCTGATTAGGAGATGTAGGGTGGAAGACAAAACTGATAGTGAGAGAGTTCTGATCCTGGGTAAATAACACTTTTAAAAGTTAGTTAGTTCTTATTTAACACTGAGTTTGTCGATTTGTGACCAAAATTTCAGAGTTCCAAAAATCTTCTTCTAACTTCAGATACTAATCAGCAAGCTCAAACAATTGCCATTTTAAACTAATTTAAGTGAACTAGTCTTCACTTTCTGATTCTCTGTTGTCCATGCTGTGATGCATTGTGGTCAAGGATGACAGTGTCTTAGAGGGTAGAACAAATATAATGGATGGGCAGTGACTACTCAATATGCCACTTCCCTTGAATTCAGCTTACTTCATATGCTGGTCAGCTAATGGACTTTTTCTTGCTCTCCCATAACAAGAACTGTCACACAGAGGTCCTTGAATAATGTTTACTAAATCTTAGATTGCAGTAATACAGATTCAGCGTATGAGGATCTATCATTGCTGTAAAGCCATGTATGGGCATCACGTAATTTTTATGAGAGATGCTTGAGCTACTTAAATTTACTTTTATGCCTGCATGGCTTCTAATGTTGAAGTAGTGAATAGATTTTGTGAGGCTGGTTGAACACCATGTCCTTTAAGAAGGGTTCTCATTTTTCTAATTGCAGCCCCTTAGCAATGCTTACCATGAATTAGCGCAAGTTTATTCAACCAATAAACCCTCGGAGCTTCGAAATCTGGTGAACAAACACAGTGAAACATTCACAAGAGATAACAATATGGGATTGGTTAAGCAATGCTTGTCATCTCTCTACAAAAAGAATATTCAGAGGCTAACCAAGGTAAGATGTAGGGGTTTTATTTTGCTGAGAAATGCGATTCGTTTTTCTCGAAGAGTGTATCTCTGAAATGTATTCAATTCAGAGCAAAATGATAATGTAGTAATGTCACGGAGAAATGACTAAAACTGAGATTTGTGTCTCTGAAACAAATGAGACTAAAATGCTCTGTATAGAAAACCAATTCAGTTGGCTACTTATGCATTATTTAAAAGGTGGTTCAATATGTCTGTCTATCAGAGGGTTTTGCCCATGAGATTTTCATACATAATCAAAAAAGTTGTGAACGCTGCTACCAAGTGACCTTCATCTCTATTTGAAAAATAGGAAACCTGAACTTTACAGGTTACTTCATTAGAGGAGAGGGAGTGGGACAGATTTTGGAAGTGTCTGAAGTAAAAGGAAAAACAGCAGCACTGGAGTGATATGCTTGTTCAGCTGAGAGATCAGGTTAATCCTTAAAGATGATCAGGGGAAATGTTATTTTTTGCAAGCTCAGATGATGTTTGTTGCAGTAGAACTAACCTCAGAAGTAATGCAATACACGCATCTCTTGAAGGAAATTGAAGGGATGGACAGTCACCCTATTCATTTAGGAAGGTGAGGGAAGGGGTTGGACGTGGTGAGGACTGTGTCCGGGGTAAAAAGGAATTGCAGAATTGGAGTAATGACTCCGTTAGTTTGGTCTGCATACATGCGCAGTGGTCTCTTTGGAGGAAGAACTGACTCCATGGTGCTTTTATAAGTAATAACTATGTGATCCACTTGTTTTTTCCCATCAGACTTCAAAATAAGATTGCATAGGCCATGAAGGATTGTTAGGGAAAGTTCTTAGCATCTGGTTTTAACCGTTTAATACTTTCTAAATTTCAGACATTTTTAACATTGTCATTACAAGACATGGCAAGTCGAGTACAGTTGTCGGGGCCCCAAGAAGCAGAAAAATACGTCCTCCACATGGTAAGACTTGTGACTTGGCGAAACTATCTCAATTTAAAAACTGACCCAATTTAAGACTCTCTAAGTGTTTGGATTGGCAGTGCATGTTCTGAATGGCTGAAGAATGGTTCTTTTTCAGGGTGAAGATAATACTGTCAGTCTGCTGTGGTGTTCAGGCTGTTCTCAAAAAATTTTAAAGGATATTTTCTGCCTAAGATGAGGCATGCATAATTTGTCTTTGGGAAGCTGTTAGGAAATAAAAAGCAAACAAGTTAAAGATGATTCCACAAGGAGTCTGTGTGCTGTAGTTACCTGAAATTCTGTTCTTAGTGGTACCTTACGTTAAACCTTCTCTCATTTCAGATAGAAGATGGTGAAATCTTTGCAAGTATTAATCAGAAAGACGGTATGGTCTGTTTCCATGATAATCCTGAAAAATATAACAATCCAGCTATGCTTCATAACATTGATCAGGAGGTAAATCTTTAAGATACTAACTGCTTTTGGAATTCCTACTGAAGAACCTTAGTCTGTAATCAGAGAGCTCTTGGGAGAAGCCAGTGTAGGTTACTTACATTTAGAGATTAAGGACTATAAATCATTATTTGCCTATTTCACAGTACCAGTATTTAAAGGTTTTAGATTGATAGTCAGTTACTGTCGGTGTGTTCCCTGTTGTATCTTCTGTACAGCTTGAGATGTTTTGGTAGACTGACTGCTTAATGTTGGTGATGGGAAGTTCCTTGAATTGAATGGATTAGAAAGATTGTTTTTAGAGTTTTAGACTTCAAGGGTCACTTCCACTGGCTGTCGATAACCTGCCTGTAGGTTGAGGTAGTTGACTCACGTGGGACTGTCTATCAGTGCCCTTAAAAAGGATTGTTAGGAAGACATGGATCAAAATAAGGGAATAAAAAAAAAAAATGGTCTGACACTTCTGTTTGGGAGATGAGGGATGAGAACGTTTTGACATGGAGCTTTTGTGATGGCAAAAGTTATTGGTTCTACATAGCACAGCCATGAAATATCTTGAAGATCATGCACAAGCTGGACAAAGTAATCAACTTTATATATATATTTTTTTAAGATGCTGAAATGTATAGAGCTTGATGAACGACTGAAAGCCATGGATCAAGAGATCACTGTGAACCCTCAGTTTGTGCAGAAGGTAATTGATTTAGTGTCTTGTAAGAGGTTCAGTGCAGTGAGTATGTGTTGCACTGAATGTCACTATTTACAGTGTTAATAATTATGTATTATTAGTAGTAATGTGCATAAACATAATGCTTTAAAACAAAAAGGAAGTGCATGTTATTTCCTATGCACTTTATTTTCCTACCTGTTAACTTCAAAGGACTGTGTGTCTCAAAGGTAAACCTTCAGATCTGTTTCAAGAGAAATAACTCTCTCCCTTCCAGAGTATGGGCTCTCAAGAAGATGACTCAGGGACCAAACCATCCAGTTATTCCTGAAATTCATGTTGCTCACCACTCCGCTTTTAAGTAAAAGCTTATGAAAGAATCACGCCTGGAATAGGGCATTGAGGAGTTCCACGAAGAGAGCAGAGAGAACTGAGCTTTGCTTTTCACCTGGACATTAAGAAAATAAAAGAACCACCCTCTCAGTACTGTATAATATCAGAAATATTCTCTGCAAAGAAAAAGGAAATCTCAAAAGAAAACTTAAAAGTCTGTTGTGGATTTATTTATCTTCAGATTAACATCGTTAACGCATTAAATAATCTACCTTTTGTTTTAAAGGGTTTGAATGTTGCTGTGTTTCTGTAGCAGTCCTTTTTTCTCTTCTGCAAAAAAAAAGTGTTATTCAGGGAAGAATACAAACTAGTGTTGGTTCACTTACAAGATAATTACTGGTTCACTATTCTGTATTTAAAGTTGGCTCAAAGTGCAGATTTATCATATGTATGGTGGGTGGAGAGGGGCGGAGTTTAAGTAAACTATCTACATTATAATTTGCATATGCCAGGTGTAGCTGGCTGCTGTCTATTAAATGAAATAAGAACTGTGTTCTTCCTGAAAGGATGAGCATATTAACAAGTCCTTGTAAGGCGGTTTTGCTGAAAATCAGAAATCACTATAGGGAATCCATACATGATAGCTATTTATGATTTTAAGTTTCTGGTACAAAATATTTCCTAATAACATTTGCTCTTAGATTAAACTTACTAGACCTAAACAAAAGGATATTTGAAAGATCTTGGTGTTCTGGAGGATTCTAGATACGAAGTTGTTCACACTGAAATAAATTTAAATTTTTGTTCCTGTACAGTTGGCATGAAGGTATTCAACAGGCTAATACTTTTCTGTGGTGGAAATAGGTGAAGGCCATGCTATAGATCTTTGTTTCCAGAGCAGAAAATTCTCCATGGAACATAGAATTCTATGCAGCTCTCAAAATGCAGGATTTTATTTGGAGATAACGTGCTGGAATGCTATCTGATTTTTAATTCACTATTTTAAACATAAAAACTTTGTGGTTGGATTCTCTAAGTGCTTCACCCCTTAAATCAATGGGCTCTTTAATTTTCTGTAGCTCTCTTGTATCTGAAGATTCTCACTGTTAAAACGCCTTTGAAACGCTTCATGTCAGTGCAAATCTCCTACTATCAGGCATAAATAAACCTGTCATCAAGTCAGAATGCAAGAAGCCCAGCATCCAGTGCTTCCTACTTAAACGCCTGACTAGGAGCTGCTTGCTACTGCTAACCTGCCAGCTTTTTTTCCAGGAGCCTAAGTGGGAGCTAAGCATTTCTGGCTCTTGCCGTGTGAAGCGTGTGTGTATTGAGGTCACCCGTGGTTGAAAATACTCCATTTGTGCTTCCAGTGCTGATACAGAACTGTTGGGGTTTTCACTTAAAATAGGTGTCTTACTTCTAGCAGAGCCTCTGTGACAGCGGTATGCTTTCTAGTAGAAGAGAGATGTCGCCAGGTTGTTCTCTAGGTAGTGAATGACGTTTTTAAAAGTATAAAATAGCAGTTTAGTATTGAGCACAGCATAGGTCCATAGTGTTAGTAGCTCACCATTGAGTATTTGTCCTTCCTATCATAGACTTCCATATTTGAAGGCAACTTTTACACCTGATCTTAAAGGAAAATCTTGGGGTCTTTTTCATAACTTGCCTTACCAGTCTTGTAATTAAAAAACCTTCAAAAATCATAAATATCTTTTCCTAGTTAATGTTGCAGTGATTTCAATGCTGAACATGCTTATGCAATTTTCTTCTCTAGTACTGTGGTAGTATTAAATTAGTAGATTAGTAATGCTGTGGGCTCAAGCACAAAGCTGGGTTGTCAAAGTGTTTACAACCATGTGCGGTAGTCCGAAAATACTGCAAATGACTAACCCCAAACTGCCACCTATACAGAAATGTGGATGGCTTGCCTTTCGTTGCCAAGGGCTCAATTGCCAGGGGGAGAATGTATGCAGGATGCTTTCACGAAGTTGGAGAAGAACCAGAAATGTCTGCTTCACAGTGGCTGAGCTTTTATACCACTAGTTGCTATTAGTGAGCGTGGACTTAGCCATCCTGCAGCTCTCGGCAGGTTTCTATCTGTGGAATTAGAAGCAAACTCATATACGCAGCTGGCAAATAGCAGCTATATTTTCTCTTTTGCCTAAGGCAGATAAAATAAATCCATGCTCACATCAAAAGGATGGTAGAAATAGCTATGTAATAGTTTCAAATGATATATTACACTAGTTTTCTTAATCCGATTTTTAAGATGGCAAATGCTTTTAAAGTTGGAGAAGTGCTAAGGTTCCTTTTCTGACATGGATAGTTGTGGTGTTAAACTCCGATTGCTGCTGAAAATTCAAAGTCAGGTCCCACCTGTAGAATCAGTAGACAAAGCATTCACCGAAAGTGCTTAAGGAATAGTTTGATAAACATATACGGTCTGGCATCTGCATGTCTTGAGATACTGTTGAAATTAGGTCAGATTTTTAATGAAGTAGCTCCTTCAAGTCTTGGAACTAATTGCATGGGCTGTGGTCAGAGACGCTTTGAGAACACTTGAGCTTTCTGGTTTTAATTTGTATTTATTGCAGGGAAGGACTTTTGATCAATTACAAGAACACTGCGTGCTATGCTCCTCCGAACTTAGACTCTCAGAGGTCTGGTGGCTAGTTCTTCCTGTCGTGCATGGCCACAAGATGTGTTCACGAAATAGTGAGTGCATGCTTTGATATCTAACTCCTATTTTAATGCATTTTAATTAGCAAAGATATAAAATGCACTTTTAAAGGTAGCATTAGACATGCAACTACACTTCTTAGCCACAGGAGGGGTCTCTAGTTCAGTTATTATTAGCAGGTCATAAAATGTTTCTAAAAAGAAATAGTTAGAAGCTGTTTGTGTACAACCACCCCTCCTGTTTTTGTGCCACTGAGCAGCCCCGGTTAGTGACCTCTGCTAACACACCTGTAGCACTGACGTCGCGCCTCATGCTTTTGCGTAACTCCAGCTGCCTCCTTCTATACAACTTCCCTTCTCTATTCTACAGCACAACCGCGACCCGTTGTATGTGTTGTCATAGGTGATCTGTATAACCTAGGAAATGTTTTCTGCATGGCCAAACTGGCTGAGGAGGTTAGTCCTGAGAAGTTGTTTAAATGTACTATTGGAAAATAAAGATAACAAACGAGTTGTTCTTCTTAGTTTGTCTTAAATGAGATAGTAGGTCTTGTGTATTTGGCTTTTCCTTAGTTTTTTTGGGGGGGTCTTTTGTTCTTGTTGCTTCTCAGGACATGTGATTCTGGCTGACTGGCGGGAGGCTGCTAGTTGTCTGCTGTGTGTGGCAGTGCCTTCGCTCAGGAGTTGTTCAAGCTCTGCCGGTGGCTTCTCGGACCTCTCCTGAACTGTCTCGAGTAGAAATAGTAGTTCTTCTTGTGCAGTGTGTTTCCTTCAGGAAGTGCTGCTACAGGTCCTTGTCCTGATGGGCTCCAGGATCTTTGGATCAAACACTTCTATTCATATCTGATCTTTGTGTTACAAAAATCATCTGTCTCGCTGACCATCTGAGTATTGTTTTCTTCAGAGGCATAATTATTAGTCCATGCATGGCTGCTTGGATCCAGAGACATGTATTGTAGTGGTATCAGTGATGGCTGCTCTTTCTTGGGATTTAAGTACAAGTTTTACGCAGCTGAATGATCTATGTTGTTATCTTGTGGAAGACTTACTACTTTTTGTTCAGACTCGGGTATTTAAAACTCTATAGGGGTCAACTCCAATGGGAAGGGAAGGGGAGGGGGGGAATCCAGTACTTTATTATTTTGAAGCCTGAAAGGATTAATAGTTCACATGAAATTTCGTTTATCTTCCTATCGGTGTTTTCTGTAAGTAATTCTCTGGTAAAACTTCTGAAGAGAAACTGGACTAGTTTAATGGAGGATCGGTATTGACGAGCCTAGAACAGGTTTATTTAACTCGAGTGTCTACTCCCTTCCTTCCCCGTTCTAACCTGGGCTTTATCTGTGTAAACATCTTTGATATAACTGCTCTATAAATGGAGTGGGAAACGGTATTACGTCATGGAAGCCTCCATCTGCCCTAATCTTATATTCTTTTAAAAATAAAAGCACGTGGGGGGCGCGCCCAGTCCTTGTACCGACTGTCTTTAACGGAGAGGTCGCGCCCAGCCTGCGGCAAGCGCACCAGCCGCCCAGCGGGGGGACACGGGAGGGGAAAAGGGGCTCTGCGGGAGTCGATTGCGAAGCTCCTTCTACCACCCGGTAGGTGCTGGCGCCGTCCCTGCCGCCCGGGCTGTCTGGCGCCGGGGCCCCTCTTCCCCTCAGCAGG